TGCCATATTACTCCTGAACAGTATGATGTCCGTAAACGATAACGACTACGTTTATCAACAAACAGACGAGGTTCCTACCACATCTCAGGACGGTGTAGACTTCTTGGCTTTTAATGATGACAATAATGTGTTTTATTCTGAAAACTCTAGTCCCATGTGGACAGACTCTATCATAGAACTTAGTTCCTCTAACACCAGCTCGACCATGGACTCTCATATGGTAGATCTACTTCCTGCTGAAGACAAGCAGACTGAGGACCCAATCTTAGATCTTGTGAAGGGAGAACTGAAACATCGTATCCGATCCAGACGACATGCCTCTGGTCAAGACGATATTGTGGTCAATTTCACTCCACAGGAGAAAATACATGATGTAAGTTTTTCAGATCACCAATTCTTTCTTTCTTAAACTGAAATATGACCCCCTTCCGATTATCGTTAGAGTTTCGTGTGAATGAGGTCTGCTAATCAGAACAGGTAAAGTCAAGACGCTGATATTAAGTCTTGATGTGTCAATGATTTAGCAAAATGCAATATTGTTCAAGTTGGACAGTTTCAATGTCTTGTCTCCATGGTTCAAGATATTTAGATCACAGTTGATCGCTTGTTTTGTCATTTCTACTCAGTACCACTCTGTTCTGTGTTCAAATGCGTTGAGGCAACTTTTATTAATAATAAACAGATTTATATACGTTAATCTAATAATTTATAATCTGAGAAGTGAGGTTTGGTTGGTGGAACGATCTAGAGTGATGTGTGATATGAGTGTATGTTTCTTTGTAGCTTATGTAACACCTCCAGTCCAAGATTGAATGTTGATTTGGTCTCTGTAGAGTTTTGGGTGAGTTTTGAGTGTTTGTATGATTCATTTAAGATTCACGTCCCATGGTTTTCGCGAATTGTACGTCTATTTTGTATTTTTACAGCCAAATTCCCAAGAAGATGAAACTAAACAGCAGTTACGGAGAGAAAAAAATCGACTAGCTGCTCAGAAATGTCGAGGGAAGAAAAGAGAAAGGGCAGAACATCTTGAGGGGGTAAGCTTAATAATTTATGTTTATATATGAAAATAGAGATTATATAATAAGTTAAGAGTTTTGCCAAATATACGGCAACGGAGGATCAATGGTTTCCGTTTACTGAAACCTCCCTTGCTATGGAGTTGAATATCTTTGAATTGCGCTTAAAATGTATGGTCATAATTCAGGTCATAATACACTTTGTATCCCGACCACATCGTCCATTAGCGTTTCTCTAGTCTCCCGGCTTGAGTATTTACAGCTTGTATAGCTATTTTGATTTCCTAATCAATATGCATTACTTTCACTTTCAGATTGTCCAGAAACTAGAGACTAAACAATCGAGAATCTCAGAGGAAATTGATAAACTCAGAACAGAAAAAGAGCATTTAGAAGATTTGATAAGCATTCATGGCAGCGTTTGTCCTAAAATGAGACGCACAACAAATGACAATCTGTGATAACCCTCTATCATCCAGTCGAACATGAACCACAAAGACATGCGTTTTTAATTCTGTATGATAGAGCACAAACTGTGATATTTTTGCTACTTTATATTTTAAATGGCCAGTCTCAACATGAGTTTGAAAACGGACAAACTATATTTTATGTTCCTCATACAAGTGTCATCGCAGCTGTGCCAAGATGTTACTTCAAGGTATTAAGTCCCGTGATAGGTGAAAAAAAATGGCGAACAATCAATTAATTGGGCATTACTTAAGACATATGTTTGCTCAATGTTGACTTGATTTGGGTGTTATAATGATATGTGGCCTCAAGATTTAGATCTGTGAAATTGACTGAGATGTATGTAATGAGGCGAACAAACACATCAGGCTGTTAGCCTATAGACCTGTATCAGGACTACACCACTGCCATGACATAAACATTTCTGAATGTAGACAGTGTATCAGGTCAGTTGCTCGTGAGCAATTTTGTGATCCTTGTTTATGAGATGGAAAAGCTTTTGAAGATCTGCTCAATCATGTGTAAATAAAGTGTTTTTTTAATAATGTTATAAAAGAAAACAGCTTGCAATAGTCTTGTCAGGAAAGCTGTTTTCAGACATTGTTACCATTATAACAATATTTTTCAAATAGACTGCTCTTGTTAGTGCAGCATTTAGATTTAGTGAGGGAGATTTGATACCTACCCCTTCCGCTAAATCTAACCTCCGAGAAATGAGGAGTTTTATAGAACGAGATGTATATATCTATATTTACTTGGTACTTACGATGGTACACTTATATTCAACCTATGTCTTCATCTACCATTTGTAAGTTTTATATTAATCCTGCCATTCTTAGGATATCGACTCGTCGTTCATAAAATATTAAATAGCTTTAGGTCGATTCCTTTGTTTCATACCTCCAGACGTAATATAGTGTTCAATGTTGTGTGCATGTAAATAACAAAATGCTGGTAGCATAGTCATTAGATGTCAGCATGCCCATGTTGGCCCTTAAGTCAGGTGGCCAACAGGCATTCCCCGATGCCATAGATACAATAGCAATTAGGAAAACAATTTATTTCATTTTCCATTTCGCTAACTTACATTTAACAAATTGTTATTTCTTAGTTCTTAAAGTGCATTAAGGGAGCTCAAACCATATAGTAATCACCAGTTTAATAATTAATGACAAAACTCAGATTGATTCTGTTGTTCCGTATATTATAAATGAACGTATAACTTAAGATTTAAATCGTAAAATTAAAGCTTTCTGATGTTATTTCTTATATGCATTCTAGTGTTTTGTTAAGATGAAGCATGCGTTGTTTGTGTTGTTTCTTGCGTTATTGTACAAAGCGTAACAGTCAAATTTGTCTCCGTGTCAGTGTTCAATGTTTTAAGTTATTGTTTAAGCTTCTGCTTTTCAAATGGAAATATGCTCTGATTTACTTGTTATATTTTGAATTAGATCATTATAATGGTCTAAATTTAGAAAACTGATCGGAATGGTGAAATATTTGAGAAAATCGGACTATATAAAAATTACAAGAAATAAATTTCTCATCTAGGGATTGCACGCTCATTGATATTGGTAAAACCAATGATTAATTTAATTATATCATGTAAAACAAACAAAAATTGAAAGATGTGTGTGAGAAGAATTCTTGTTATTTTGAAGCTTGCGCACACTCCCCCTTGCATTATGTTTGCATGTCAATTTTTTTTGTTGTTATTGCGTTGTACATTTTTGTTACTCAGCTCAGTGCAAAAGCTCGGACTTTGTCTTGATAATGTAGATATTGTGTTGTTAATATTGATATTGTGTTGTATAACGATATACATATTGTATATTACATTATGATGTGTATTAAAGAATAGTTGTTACGTTTAATCATATAAAATTTATTAAAATAAAAATCTTAATGACCTTTAATATGTGTTGGATTATTTGGGTATCGAATTCGAGTGTCTTTTAATTATGCTGTGAAGCTATTTGTAAAACGTTTTTTTTACTAACACGAGTTGAAACGTTGATAGGATTACATGTTCGACTAGAGATCAACAAATTGACTACGATTGAAACTGTCGAAATTGTTCTAAAGAAGGTTTTATGTTGAAAAGAACCAATATATTTCGAAGTGATACAACCCAGTGTCCATAGTAAATTTTCTGGCTGGCCAGTCCGTCGTGTGTAGTTCCTTGAAGGCAGAATACTAATAATATACTACTAAAAATAAGCACTCACATTATAACTAAGGGCTACAAAGTGGAAGAATTGTGTAGATCTTGCGTGGGGAGTTGAGTTAAGCTTAGATATATCAAAATTGACGGATGTTATCGTTGAATTTATATTTTCCGACTTCCAGTTCGGAACCATTTTAAACTTACGTAAACTTTTTAAAAGTTAAAGTAACGGCTGGATTTTTTTAATAAAAAATTTCGACCTTCAAAAAAAGCGGAATTCAGGATATCCTATATGATTAATGGACTGATAGAACAACTCCGATATTTGTTAGCGCTTCTCAACTTCCGGTTAAACATCAATCAAAATAAACAAATTTTCAAAACGTACATCATGGCACACCAGGATCTGTAAAATAAGAAGCCATGGCTATGGAATAATAGGTCTAAAGTCACTAATTTTGTCGAAAATGTTGAATGAAAATGCCTAACCGACCTCGAGCGGTACTGGATTTATGAATACAGCCGAATTTTTAACCGACACTTAAAGCCTTGTTTTCTCTGCGCTTTTATTTTTCCCTCTCCTTTTTGTTCTTCCCGGTATAATCATTGCTTCATATTGCAAGAAATGTACAAATGAGCGCATTGGATATACTCCTACAAGACTTTAAAAAGTAGTTAAGGGGAGGTAACTCATTTTACTGTCATCCTTGACGCATCTGCACTGCGCACAACAATATTATCAACTTCCGGTTATATTAATTGCACGATATCAGAAAAAAAAGACATTTTGTCGTGCAAAACGGGAATGATCGATTCTGATTTTTCGATGACCGACAAAGATAAAATTCTGCAGGTAAATATAATCAATGAATTGCGAAATATCCGGAAAATTTGGCCGGTAGATGCCGCTAATGATGAGTTATTCACCGGCAACCCTTTCCTCTTCTTTCTCGTCTCAATCAATCAAAACAACTCACCAAATTTTTTTTTTGGCTGAACTGTCATCGCTTCCCGATTGACAACTTTGAGAACAGAGTCACAAAAGATCACAATGAAAGACCTGGTCAACACGAATTTGATTCTGACTGATATCATGAATGGCAATGAACCTACTTCTGACTCGGTTTGTAACTGTGTTCATTCATTCAGACTTTGTCTTGAAGAAAAATGATGGGGGTGGGGAAATGCTGTAACCTTTTAGGTTGTACTGTAAATTACAATATGTCAATGAATTGAAAACAGTTCTGAGATTCCATGTCATTGTTGATCCATTTCAAGGTTTTCATTTTATGATGAAATGATATTTTTACTTTTTTTTTGTATTTCAGAATGCTATGACAGACATAATGTATGAACTTATAGATGAAGTCTCACTTGGTTTGTGTTTTGAAATTCATCGTGCCAGTAAAATTGGAACTTTGTTTCTGGCTGATACAGACCCTAAGTAAGTTGACTATTATAGTTTGAGCCTTTGTAGGCCTTTGTCTGGTTAAGCAAGTATACTCTGTTTTAATAGCACTAAGTAAAGCATAAAGTATGATGACAGTTAATCATAAAGGACGCAAATTTCTGTTGCTTGAAACAATTATGGAAAATATTTCATGTTCTCTTTTTTTTTTTGTGTCTTTTCAGATCTTCCAAAGAGTTAGGTAAGTAAATTTTATTTTTCTGATGAAAGACATTTGATCAGTGATAAATAATATTAATAATTATAGAGAGTTCTAATAAGAAGTTAATGTTCATAAAATATTTAACAATTATTAGTTTTGGTGAACCATATTTATACATGTAGTTAAGTTTTTAATTTGTTTATGATTTTTCAGAAATAGTAGATAAACCAGGGTATGATGTTTTTGGTCAGCCACCACAGAAAAAACAGCTGGAATGTATCTGTCCTAACTGTCAGAGAAATTTAGCAGCTGCCAGATTCGCTCCCCATCTAGAGAAATGTATGGGAATGGGTAGAAACAGTTCTAGAATAGCTAGTAGAAGGTGATTTATTGCTTTAACTTTTTTGGGTCATAGAAAGTCAAGTTGACACTTGATTGAATAGCATGAAAGTCTCAAAGTTTGGAAAAACTGTTATTCAAACTTTTAGAACCTTATTGCAGGCAGAGTTATCACAACTGAATTGGGTCACTGGAACCTAATAGTTAAACCATATATAAATACTTCTCAATGTTACAAATTTCATTGATCTATGAAAACTGAATTTACATCAATATAATTCCACCGTTAAAATAGTGCTTAATACATTAATTCTAGAGCGATTAGAAATATGAAAACAGACTAGAATAATGATTCATGCTATGCGATCTTCAGACAACTGACCTTTTTCAGCCTGCATCCTTAAACTGAAGGTTTATATTAATTCATTATTTGTATCAGTTCTTTATTATGATTTGTGAATGTCTAAATATGTGATATTATAGGATAGCTAATAACAGTACGTTAAAGAGAGATAGTGATGACAGTGGACCAGATCATGATGATAATGATAATGATTGGACTTTACATACAGATAATAAAAAATGTAAGTTTGAAATAAATAACAGTGGCTGTATATCCTTGGTGAATTTCTTAATACTGGTCTTAAAGGAATGAAATGGTGAAATTTGAATTCTGACTATTTTTGAAAATGTTATAACTAAATAAAGTTCATAAAACAAGGATTACTCCCTTTATTGGTAGAACTTGAACCTTGTTTTGTATGATATTCTCTGATTTCAGTAAAGAAGTTGAAAAAAGAAAAAAGTGTGAACTCTCCAAGAAGAAACAAATTTGGTAAATTTACAAAAAATGGTAAGTAAAGTTTGTGTCATACTAGATGTAAAGGATGTAGGGGAGATCTAATAATAAAATAATGATCAGTCCTTGCCTTGTATGGATTGTCTACTGTATAAATAAAATATGTAATTTCTTACAGGTGATATATATGATAGAGACACGGGTACACCTGAACCTAAATTTGACTATGAAGACATGACACTAGGTAAGTCGTCTTTACAAGTGTAACATTTTGGGTTCACAAGGATCCTATTTATCAGTTGGTCATTACTGTGCAACAGTTGTCTTGAGTTCATCAAGCAACTTGTTATAGTTACACAATCCTTATCAAGACAGCTCCTTTTGGAAAGGAATTGATATTCTAATATAGGGTATGAGCTACCATCACGTTACTGTCAGTCTAATAACATCTAATTTGTTTATTTCAGAGGATAGAAAATCTCTATTATTAAGTGTAAGTGTGTTTTATTTTCCACTTGAGTGTAACATATTTCATTTCATCCTGAAAATTTATTATTTGAGGATTTTTAACGTCAGTATGTGTTTTTCTGTAGATTTACTTAGCCAGACATATTGATAAGATTAACACTTTTCAAGAGCAAGACCCTGTGTGCTACAGTCTGTGTACAAAAAACAGCAGGCTAATGCCACTGTCCTGGCAAAATTTCCTTCATTGTACCCTGCATGAGGATGGTGTTGCCCATCTTCATTAGCCCACTTGGTGCAGAAAGGTAGGACGTAAAACTCCATTCATTTCATTTTATTTTGTGATTTTTCCTCTAGACCTGTGGTGTGATATCAGAACATACCAAGAAAATGTGTACCAGATCTATGAGATGTCCTCAACATAATGATGATCAGAGACTACAAGTTAGAAAAACACTGCTTAGATCTGTGTAAGTTTTAGTTTATAGTTTCTTAATAAGATAAGAGCAACTAGAAGGGCAATTTTGAATATTATTGGCTAATAATCAATGACTTATACTCAGACACATGAACCTAATTTATCAATAGCTTATATTTGCTGATATCTGCTTGACTTGTTTTGCTATTCTATAAGATTATTGAGATTACAGCCAAACATAAGAAAGGTGGTTAAAAAAATATTTTTCTCCAGAAAACTTCAATCTTTTATCCTACTATTTTTTTTAATGAAACTTTTATGGATCATTACAACTTTTAGTATCAGTAGAAAATGTAAACAATTGATCAATACATGAATCTACAATTGATCAATACATGAATCTACAATTGATCAATACATGAATCTACAATTGATCAATACATGAATCTACAAATAATCCAATGAATGCATTGTTATATTTGTTATTATAGGAATGCGTTAGATGAAGATATACATGTAGATATTGATAGTTTTGATGATAGTGAGAATCAATCATTACGAGAAACACTACAATGGGAAGCCTCATCTAACTCTTCCCCTGCTGATAGTACCTCTACTAATAATAGTACGTAGCACCATATCTTTTTTTATTTAATTGATACTGTTAACTTCATTTTTGTGGGTACAAAATTTGATACATTTGTCCTAAATGGGGAATAATATCAAGAATTGTGTTAAAACATGTGTCTTCATTTGGTACATTGTAAATGATTCTTGGATTTTCAAATTATATCAATAGAGAAAGTAATGGTTTTATGAACCTCAATTTGCTTCTAACTTTTTAAGAATAGTAGATTTTCAAAATGTCTTCACCTTTACATCCTGAAGAAATATAGATATTTCAATATATACAAGTAACAGTAAATTGGTGCATACTCTCTCTTTTAGTGGTATAGTTGTAATTCCACTAGTGCAATCAGAAGCAGAAATGTATGAAATATAAATCTTTCATCCTATTTTCAGGTACAAGCTCCAGGAAACGACCACTAAAGAGTTCTAAATCAAATGGTAGCAGTAAAAAGAAGAAAAAAAGTTCCAGCAATAGCAGTAAAAGTTTATATGAATTTTCCTGATAGCAGAACCCATTATTTTCCTAAAAATATGTCTTTCTTGAAATTTGCTTCTATATGGGTTGCTTGCTGTACAATGATCTGATTTGCTAAGTAACCTTTTGGGAATACACAACTTATGTGAGAAGCAAAGTCAACTGAGCTCAATGTCAGTTAACCCTTTGTGATCCATTGTCAAATTTCCACAATGTTATGATGATAAGATATGAATTCAAAACATAAGTAAACTGATCTCTTGTCAGACAGACTAAGTGTATTTTGCTGACCGAGGCTTACATGATTATTTTTGCAAATATCGACAAAAATCAACTGCTGAATTGTGAAAGAGTTGCTGTTTTTTATTTAGCTTTTACTAATGCCATAAAATGTAGTGAGTGAAAGACAATAGTTGAAGGGATAGTATGTAGGAGGTTATGGATATTAGTAAAAAGTGTACGAAAAAATGCTGTATAAATGAATTAGTTGTTGGAAAATTTATGTTCCTATTATGAAAAAAAGATAAAAAGGCCAATACCTTCCTATCTCGGCCCAAAAAATACAAAATAGATTGACTTGCTATTAAAAAACGATAATCTTATAAATGAAAATAAGCTAAAAAGATAACTAACAATAAATGAAATTAATAAAGATAATATTGGGTAGGTTGAAGTGAGAAAGAGAAATTATACTCTAACATAATTATAAGATGCATACTTACATTTGCAAAAATAAGTGAAAACATTTGTAGGGTTATCCAGGTACATGATATACTTGTACAATGGATCTTACTGGAATACAGTCAATGAAATGTTATTATTCACCAATGATATTGGGTATGTTGTTATGTTACTGTAAATACAATGTAAGTAAAGTTATTGTTAGTTTAAATCATAAAGTGCTGAAATTGTACCAAAAATATCTCCCATGATATTATGGGATTTTGTGTGTGGTTGTGAGAGTAACATTGGTATGAGCTTGTATGTTTACTATAGTATGAGTTGGTATGTTTACTTTGAGCCGGGATGATAACTATATGTTAGAATGAGTCGATTAGTTGTGTTTACTGTGAGCTGGCGGGTTAACTGTGAGTTGGAATGGGTCAAGTTGGTATGTTTTCTTGAGCTGGTATGTTTACTGTGAACTGGTATGTTCTCTGAACTGATATGTTAAGTATGAGTTGGTATGTTTCCTGTGTGTTAACTGTGAGCTGGAATGGGTCAAGTTATTATGTTTTCTTGAGCTGGTATGCTTACTGTGAGCTGGTAGGTTTCTTATGAGTGGGTATGTTGTTTTGTTTAGCTGGTATGTTTACTGTGAACTGGTATGTTCTCTGAACTGATATGTTAAGTATGAGTTGGTATGTTTCCTGTGAGCTTGTGTGTTAACTGTGAGTTGGAATGGGTCAAGTTGGTATGTTTTCTTGAGCTGGTATGCTTACTGTGAGCTGGTAGGTTTCTTATGAGCGGGTATGTTGTTTTGTTTAGCTGGTATGTTTACTGTGAGCTGGTATGTTCTCTGAACTGATATGTTAAGAATGAGTTGGTATGTTTACTGTGAGCTTGTGTGTATTATATGAGATGGTATGTTTACAGTGAGCTGGTATTACAGTGAATTGGTATGTTTACGTGAGCTGGTATGATTACAGTGAATTAGTATGTTTACAGTGAGCTGGTATGATTACAGTGAATTGGTATGTTTATGTGAGTTGGTATGTTTACAGTGAGTTGGTATGTTTACTATGAGCTGGTGTAAGTTGGTATGTTTACTGTGAGCTGTTATATTGGATATAAGTTGGTATATGGTACCGTATAGGATTTTTGATATTTACTGTTGTTTGTATCAATATTTATGTCTTTCAGTGAATACAATTAAGAGGCCTATTTCTATGTGGTTTTATTAGATTTCATGCTTTTTGGCATCAGTTATCCCTAATCATGTGACTAGCATTTGACTTTTCAGGCAAGGAATGCCCATACTTCCGAGATAATCTGATTTTTGCTTTGTTTAAAGTGACTTTTCTTAGATCGTGCAAGCTGAAAAAAGGACATCCAGTTTCTCCACAAGGTGTTTCCAAGACTGACAGTGTTATTGAAGATAATGTTAATCTATAATTGATTGATTTGGTTCAATGCCTGGTTTAAAATTTGATGAACTCAATATAAAAATGTATGTATGATAAATATGTGTGGTATTGTCTCAAGTTATTATTATTATTATTGTTAATGTGATTAAACTATTGTTACTTACATATCTATT